CCCTCGGAGGGAGTGCTAGTAGCTGGGATGGCTAGAAATATCTTGGCCATCTTAGCCAGGCCAGGATAGATCTCCTGGCGAGATTTCCAAAAAGACAAAACATCGGTTTCACGCGGTTCGGGTAGCTCGCACAAGTATCGATTGATTTCAGTACCAATGGATTGATCACGAAGATTGTCTCGTTCGCCGTAGATGGCATTTTCGAAGTACTGAGCAGTCGAAGAGTTCGAAGAGGTCAAAGGTACGTTTGAGGTCACTGGAACTTCAGGTGCAGCGTACTCATACTTCTGCGCTTCGATTTCGAACATTGATCTGATGTCTTGAGTGAATAGGTCATAATCACTCAAGATCAACTCTTGCTCCTGTTTTGAAAGTTATGAAAATATCATCAGTACATAGTAGAATTGGTGTGTTATCTTTGACTTAGACTTACTTGAAAATAAAGAAGTTTGAAGCGTGGGTCAAGTATAGTAGCACAGATCGGGCCAGGTTTCGTTATGACCTTCTTGAAGTAATCTTCGAGCTTTGCAATCATTTTCTTCGAGGCAGGAACCAATTGATCGTGATCGTACTTCTGAGACACCTGATTGACCAAAGTTGAATAAAGTTAGGAGACTTGATCTAACGAGTTATTAAGATAATGAGATACTGACCAATTTGAGACCTTGAATCACCGCCACGTACATAGGCACCACTTGTTGCATCGTCGGATACTTTGATCAACAAAGAAGATCAGTTGCCGCGCTGAGTGGTTCTAAGAAATTGCACATCTGTTGTACGTAGTCCCACTCAGCAGGTAACAAAGCAAATTTCTTGAAATCTCGACCCTTGCAGAATTCATCACAAGCTGAACGTAAACGGAGAAGCCTTAAGAACATGTAATAGGACGAATTCCAACGAGTGGGAACATCGGGGACCAGTCGATTCACAATACCATGACGACTCTTCTGAGTAGATTGTACTTCTTCACTGTTTTTGTCTTGCATCATGTAATTAACATCTTCTTCATCTTGAGGGTTGTTAGCACGGGGAGCAGGAGGTTCAATATGATCGGTATCGGAATCAAGTGTGTTGGCAAGGTGTCGCACCGCCGTGACAACATTAGCAAAGGCCTGAGCTCGTTGTGGACTAGATCGGGTTAACTTCACAAGGCCGTGGCATCGGGCATAGATAGTCTTGAGGTTGAATTGAAGCACATCTGGAGGATCGACGAGGTTCCGGACATCCATTGAGCTCGTTGGATGTTCTTCCAAGTCGGTCACCTCACCAAATTCCTTGAGGCCTTCCTTGGCCGCGAGGTTGATTACATGTGCCACACATCCATGTACTTGAGTCGAGTGATCGAAAGTGATTTCAGGGAACAATCCAAGCTTTCGGCCAATCGCGGCGTTCGTACCAACGTTGTCCGCGGTCATCGCAGACAACTTTTGAGTGACATCGAATTTCTTCAAGTAGTCGAATATGATATGGGCAAAAGTCTCTGCATCATGAGCACCTACATATACATAGATAATAAATAAATTTAAAAAAAGCAAAAGAGAAAAGTATATAGATTGAATGTTAAATACATAGAAATAAAATCAATCATTGATTAAATCGAACTCACCCTTAATCTCAGCAATACCAAGAGTGATATCGGTCAACTTCCACTCATCCGTGATAAAATGCCCAGTAAGTGACATGAATGGGACATTGTTTGGAGAGGTCCAAGCATCTTGAGTTATAGCTATAGCGGGAGTTGAAGATAAGTACTGCTTCTTTATGTATTCCTCGTAATAGTAATAGATTTTGCGAGTATGTTGAGCAAGCGAATGGCGTTTGGTGAGCATTCCGTTAACTTGGTAGTTACAAAGCGTCAAGAGTTCTCGATAAGAGTTTCGATCCACAATAGAGAAAGCAAGGTCGCAGTCGGCCACAAAATACGAGACAGCAGTCATCAAACTAGTTGCATCAAGTTTGCGCTGTAATACCACATCATTAGTGTTAAGGAAAGTTAAACAAAGATAAACAATAAGACTTACCATGTGATCAGTCTTCACCTTCTTGAAAGCAGCAAGAATGTTGCTTTGATTAGGAAGATTAGCATCACGGATTCCGTGCTTGGACTCGAGATGATTCTTCATCGACTTAGTACTACCCGTCTCATCACGCTTCAATTCGGCACCACATTTCGATCCGTCAGGCTTGATAACACCACATCTGTTAACGTTACGTTTTCGGAGCTTGACGAAGTGAAGCCAGACGTAGCTTGCTGGACGAACAGCAGATGCTATAATCTTGGTGGTGGAGGTATTAGCAGTATCTGGTTCAGTGGTTAAATCCACAGTAGTGATAGCAGATTGCGATGAAACACTACTCGTGTTGGTAATCTGAGACATGATTTAGTATTTACGGAGTTTTTGAAAGCTGATAGAAAGCTAGAAAAGGGAAATATAAGGGTCAAGAAGTGAAAAATAAGGGTTCAAAAGGAATCTTTGATGACGAGCTGTCTGAGGAAAGATCAAAGGGCACAGGGTGACCAGGTGGAAATAGGAGGGAGCTTTGTAAACCTAGTTTATAACCGTAGTAACCTAGTTTGTTCGTATATGTTTTCTTTGAGGTTAGTATTGGAGTGTGCAGGCTAATCAAAAAGTCATGAAGTCGACGAATAGAACAATCAGTCGAGCTTCATCGTGTCATATTAGCAGTATCTGGTCAGGTGCAGGCAGCAATTGATGTTAAATATCTCATAGACCGCCGGATATAGGCTAATTTCCCCGGTCCGGTGTTCAAACCCTGGGCAAATCGCACTTTTTGGCTCAGGCGCCGGGTATCCGGCGGATTACTCGTTCGGGCCCCGGGCAGCCTTTTTTTACAAAAAAAACTCGATCGGGGGCTTCGAAACGGGCTGAAAGAGTTCCTCTACCCGTCGGTTCGGGGGCCGGGCTGCCCACTACCCGACGGATAGTCTTCGGGGCTCGGGCTGAAAGGATGAGGTTGAAGTGGAGTGGGTGGCGCAATTGGAAGAATTCAGAAGTAAACAATAACAAAACTAAAGAAAGCATCGTAGAGAAGGAGATCAAGAACAAGAGTGAAAAATCGACCGATAACCCCACATGGATCGCAATTCTGGAGTCTCGTCTAAATGTGGGCTTGAATGCTTTGAGAAAACTTTGTTGAGATGGACACAAATCCAGAAAAGTTATAAGAAGAGGCGCCGAAGGATCAGTGAAGCAGTGAAATGGATTTGAGTCGGGAAAAGACGATCAAGGTCAAGAGTGAAATGGTAAGCTTGGTTCCTCAGATTGTTTATCTTCACTTCAACTTTTGATATCTTCATCACTGTTGATGATGAATTGATTACGGGATCATTGAAATCATGGATGGATGCGGTGGTCATCAAGATCTCAACCACAACATTATTATTAAAGTATACATACTCACATTTCAAGATCAATAAGGTGCTTATGCTTATAATCCTTCCGTACTTTCTTCGACTCACCAATCCTATCACCTCATCACAGCCTCACCATCTATAGTTTTTTTATCTCTTTTTCGGTTTCTTTCGGTCGATATTCTTCCTGAACTTCACTTGAATTCAGTTTGCTATCTTTTCCTTCTTTCTTCTCCTGCATCCAGATCCTTTCAAAGTTTTGAAGACCTTTGACGGTGTTTGTTTCTGCAAACTGACTCAATTCGACACCAATACTCAGTTTGTCCGAGTGAGCAACTTCTAACTCAGTTTACCATCTGCAATACTCTTCTTTGTTCGTCTTCCTGTCCCACACCCAATCACCCACCTCTACAGACAAGACCAGAGCTATCAATCTGCTTCTAGTTCTAAAATCTGGACTTAAATAAAGCATGTGCAATGTGCAAAAGAAGGCAAATTCAAGAAAGACAGTTTGATGTTGGGCTGCATCACAGTCTCAATCATCGCTTGATTACCCCTCCCAACGGTCCGCCAGCCATCACAATTATTATCATTTCTCATTGTCCTGGCTTGTGATTGTGATCTAGCCTAACGTCTGACTCGGCTGGTTGCTTGAGATCTAGCTCCCCAACGTCCAACTTCCCTCATATTTCCATCTCACTCTCATCTTCATCTCCTTCGATTCGACTAACATTCAACTTTGACTCCAGAAAACTTGCCCCTCTTATCGATTCCCATTGGTCAGTCTCTTAAGCTTGCCTGTCTCTCGATTGTCTTTTTCGACTTCTTCACTTATCTCCCTCGACCGCTCTTCAGGCCATCCCGCCTTCTCGCTGTCATTCAAACCCTTCGCTTCTGGTCCGTCCTATCCTTAGCTGCTTTCTCTTTGCTGCTCAAAACAATCTTCTCACCCTGCGCCTCGTCTATTTCTGTGTTGGCTTCCCCCTTACACCCCTCGCTTGACAGAACCTATCACTGACCCTCTTTTCTCCCCTGCCAAACTCCCCTCTTCTTCATATAGCCTTTTGCGTCAGCTAAGCTTTTACAACCCAATACGGTCTCGTGATTGGATTTCTTTCAGCCCTCGCCATCTCAACCAGATCCTTCAAATCCCTGTCAACCACTTCCTAGCATTCTTCGTGGACCCTTTGATCCCCGTGTAGCTGATTGTGGTCCAATCCAGAGGTAACCTTGTGGGAGACTCGGTATGTGTTTTTTCTCGTTGTTTTATCCATTTGATGATCACGGTGAATGTGATTCAGGAACCAGATAGGACTTCTGTCTTGAGAGGGAAACTTGAGTTGTCCGAATCGAATACTTTCGGACCCTGCCTTAACTCACCTCTGCTTTTGACCACTCTCTCCCCATGTATCATATCCTGTTATAGCTTTGAGTGCGCATACATCCACCACTCGCCTTGACTTACCATCCAACAGCTGCCAATTTATCGATCGAAGCTTAAGTTCCTCAAAAGCTCAAGACTCTACCCTCATCGAACCTAAATATCATATACTTCAACTACGCTTGACTCTACTGCATATCCTCACCAAGATCACGTATCCCATTTTCGCATCAAGGCAATTTCAGTATGACTACTACCAGCCCAACCGAAGCCCCATTTACCGCTCCACACCCTGTTGACCAAACAGAGGTCACTTTTGACATGTCTAAACGAAGAAAAGGCGTGTGCAAGTTTTTCAATTCCCAGAAAGGTTTTGGGTACGTAATTCATGCGCTTCATTGCTAGCATGCCAAAGCTGACGTGTATGATGTGCTTTTCAAAACCGTGACTGCGACGACCATCTGGTTTTTGACCCCTGCTACCCAAACTGACATTTAACTGACATGAAGGTTCATCAACGACGATCATCCTGATGAGTTAGGGAACCAGGAAGGTTAGCTCTCCGACGCTAACGAACCAGTGCGAAAAACAAAAGCTAATCACTCAGAACCTTGAACGATCCTTAGTGTTTGTTCATTATACTTCTATTGGCGGTAAAGGCGGTTTTCGGTCATTGGCCGAAGTAAGTCGCCTCATCCCATTGCACTGAATTAGCGGATGGACCTTTGCTGATAAAATTGATATCTTATTTGACAGGGAGAGGAAGTGAGTTGCTTCACACTACGTTGACCAGCGTGTGTTCTGACTTTTTTCGTCTATCAAGGTTGAATACGTCGTATCCCCTGGTCACAAAGGTTTCCAAGCTACCGAAGTCACTGGGCCGTCGGGTGAGTCATATTTATCATCTTCCCGCAACACGGGAAACCTCTTGCACTTGTCCGACCCCATGACGCCGTCCAAGACTTGATGAGCACTCATCTTATACCCGCGGTCTTTTTGATCAGCAGAGTTTTTCAAAGCCTTGTGTTCATGGGCTTGAATCAGTGTGTTTGGTATCTTTTATATGTGACTACAATACTGAGGTTGTCTGTTTTTTCTGTGTCTCTTATTCTGTAACCTCGTGTGCCAATATTGTGGGTTGGTCTCTGTTTCGTTTTTGGTACCCATCTGTTTTGTCCAACGTCGAAACGAATCCTTCTCTCGACGAACTTCAACACATCACCTCATATGTCAAACTCTGCAAATTTCGTCGAACTCGTGCGATACACGCCCATCTCAGGTCGTGCGGTACAAGGTGATGTCAAATCAAAGCTGCCCAAGACGCCAACTTTTGTCCCGTATCCTCTAGGAATCATGCGTTAGTCATAGTCAATTTCTCGCCAGAGTCAAACATGCTTCCGTCATCTATCGCTGATGCGTATCGTCATCCATGACTCCTCTTTTGATTTACTGTGCATCTGTAGCGGCAACATACGCTATTGGAGCTGGTTCTCCTTATATGCAAGGCGAGCCATACATGTCTCCTCACCCTGGAAGCGTCTACGCTGGATCACCCTACGCTTCGCAGGTATTCTACCTGCCTTCCCCCGTGGGCGTATTCCCCGCTGGCCACTCTCCAAGTCTAGGGGCCATGGCTCCCTATCCCAACGTTCAAAGTCCGCATACAAATATGCGATCCCCGACAGTTCCGTTCACGCACAATCAACATGGTCAAATGTCCATGGCACTCTCTCCTCAAAATCCCTCCGGCGGTTTTGGATTTGGAAGTCCTTCGATGACTTACGGATTTGGCGCTACAGGATCAAACGTGTTGGGACATAGTACTGGAAGCACTGGTGATATGCGTTCACCAGTGGCTGGATTAAGTGCCACTAGCGGTACCTTTCCCTCGCAAGCTCAATCGGCTTTCGGTGGCGGGGCAAATACCGGCTTGGGTCTTAGGGCTGATTCGGGAGCCGGAGAAAGTGCCGGAAGACATGTTCGGGAGGACCGTAGAGGAAGTCATTCAGGCGCAGGTGCCTCCGGCCTCGGTGGATATCCTACTCCTTCTTTGGTCTATTCATCAGCAGGGCAAGGGGCGTTTTGAGCTTCAAATCGGATGGGTTTTCGAGTCTTCATTTCCTTTCTCGTGCCTTTTTTCAAAATTATCACATTGTCTTTTTCATTCGGCCATCCGACACCAGGATAGAGTTGTTGATTGTTTACCTTGAACCTCGAACTCGGTCGATTACCAGTGTCATAGCGCACCAGTGTCGACGTGGGTCCCAATCTTCACGTAGTGATTGTATCTTTACCACTGCTTATGTAAGATCATGTATCCGCAATGGTGCTGAGATGATCGCAGCGTACCTCTGCTATGATTGTGCTATCTTACGTGTTTTATCAAGAAAGAAATCCTTCTACAGTACCATCTTACCTAGTGTTTTCTTTACCTAAATAATGTGTTTTTGTTTCCTTCTGAGCATCATTTCACAGTGGTCATGTGTCCGATTGTACTGCCGTGTATCTTGTTCAATCAATAACATCAACAATCTACTTTGTCCCATTTGTGTCAAACCAGAGGTTTCTCCATTGAGGAATCAAGCTACTCTGCAAACATGAAAACTACAAGTGCATAAGCAAGGTAGACTAGACATTATGAAGCGTTCATGAGGATATTTTTGTCGAGGATTTTTACTGATATGATGTGCTTTGCTATTGATATGAATCGTGGTTTCCATCGTGCAGAACCCACATGCGTGCAGTCACGTATTCTTAGGTGCACCTTGGCGCCCCCTTTTCATAAAAATTGACCATGAGAGTGCGCTGTGTGCCTTTGTTTTTTCCAAACCCTCATGAAGTTCCAAGATGTGGTATTCTTGTCTAACCAAGAACATCTTTGAAGTGTCTTGCTTAACTGGATACCACACTATCCAAACACACTAAAAGCAAGAAGACTAGTTATCCTAGAATGACACAGGTACCTGGCTGGAACCAATTTTCTCTTGGTGTAAAACTCTTTTTGTTTGTGGTTAGAAAGTGGACTTGGGTTCATGCTTGGTTTCATGTAGGACTTGAGATCCTCCAGTTGCATGACAATCTATGCATCAGCCTGATGTAATGCCAGGCAATGCCCCCCTAGCTTTCAACTTATTGACCAAGGCTAAGCCCAAGGGGAAGTTCAAGAGTGGATAGTGGCACTGGAGAGTGTTTGGCCCCACAAATCAACTAGCCTCAGCTTTTGACAAAATGTGGGCCTTTGGCACAGTTTTAGAACCACACCCATAACCTCATCCATACCTTACATTTTCAAAGGTCATCATATCAAAAGGTATTGAAGCTTATATGGTGCTGTAAGCCATCATTATCAACTTGTAGTGAGATGATAGAAAGAGATGTGACTTATCCAACGTCAATCAAGATACATAGTGACTGTCCTTTTGATATCCCAAAGTGTAATTGAAACAAGAAGCAAATTTAGGTTGTCAATTTTGAACATAGAAGAGAGAAGCTGTGTAGAAAGGTTTTCACTGGTTGACAACATCTCAGCGCTATAAGCATATCTTGTTAAAGCATCGGTGAATGGCTATGAAAGCATGTAAAGTTATAACAACCTTGTTACTGTATTGTAAGGTTTGAGACCATACAAGTCAGTTGGAAGTCAATTGCTGTGGATGTAGGGACGCTTAGTCAGAAAGTGACGTAAATGATCAGAGGGAAGAGCCCAGCTTTTTTGAAAAGCTGACAACGTCATACAGACATCATACATTAAGGTGATTTCCATGAGTATAATCTGGTATCACATCCCAGATATTTATAATAAGGCTTCGGGCTAAAAATTCAAGAACCAACGAAGGGGACGCAGACCAACAAAGAAAACTTTCTAACATTATACTTTCGGCTTCAAAATGAACTCATCCAACCATCAAATTTCCATTACCAGGATACCAAACATGATTGCAAGAACAGCTTTGATGGGCGAGTTGAGTTTACAAGAATGTGATGTTTCAGATTCAGCAGTCCTACAAAATAATCTCAAGATCAGATCAAGAATATCTTTTCCAAAATTGATAAACAAAAACTTCTTTGAAATACGTACTGTTTAGCTAAAATCTCGGCTTCAGAATTTACCTTTCCTTTCTTTCCTGATGTTGAGTCATGAGAAGAGGAATTATTTGAAGATGTGCTACTCGAAGAAGAACTTTGAGAATTGGATGTCACGTTTGAAGATTGAATAATACTGCTGGATCCATTGGTTTTTGAGGAATCGCCGGAGGAGATTGAGGGAGCTAGAGCAAGACCTTTCCTGTGCACAGGTTGAACAGCACTGTAGGAACCATTGGGTTTCGAGGATTCGCCGGAGGAGATTGCGGGGGGTTGGGCATCCGAACCTGTTTTAGCGCCAGTTGACGAAACAGGACTGGTCCTATTACCACTTGCAGATTCGACACGTCCGTCTTGAGAATTTTTGACAGCTCCCGCTGTGTTATTCGAAGTCGATGATACATTTTGAGAAGCTGAAGAGTTCATGGAGCTAGATGTATTTGTGGCCGAAATGGTCGAGTTTGAAGTCATATTTGATCCCAACACACTACTATTGTTGGACAAAGAGGCAGGGCTGTCTGTCAAGCTGCTAGAGGAATTAGATGAGGTAAGGTTAGTTGATGGTTCTAACATCGAATTTTCTGAGCTGGCATTCTTGTTAGCTGTGTTGTTCAAACTTGAAGAGTTCATCGGACTTGATGAATTTGTAGCCGAGATGTTTGGATATGAAGTGGCATTTGAACCTAACCCAGTGCTATTGTTGGACAAGGAAGGTGAGCTGTCTGTCAAGTTGCTAGAGGAATTAGATGTGTTGTTCAAGAGTGATGAAGCGTTGTTCGAAGTCGAAGAGTTCATTGGACTAGATGAATTTGTAGCTGAGATCTTTGGAAAGGAAGTCGCATTCAGACCCGATACATTCCTGTTATTGCTTGAGGAAGACGGGCTGTCTGTCAAGTTGCTTGAGGAATTAGCTGATGTTAGATTATTTGATGCCCCCATCACTGCAGAACTAGCATTTTTATCAGCGGTGTTGTTCAAAGTTGATGAAGCGTTGTTCGAAGTCGAAGAGTTCATTGGACTGGATGAATTTGTAGCTGAGATGTTTGGAAATGAAGTCGAGTCATCATTGTCCAGGTCATCATCACCCCTTGTCAAGTTTCCAGAAGAATCGGCTGAGGTCAGGTCAGTTGATGAAGCCGACACTTGAGAGCTGGAGTTTTTGCTGGAAACAGACGATGTGTTTTGAGCCGATGCGCTACTCTCGTTGGTGATCGAACTGGTTCCGCCTGAAATTCCCAAGCCAGTAATATTCTTCTGATCTCTTGGCTCAATAGACCAGGGTCCGCGTGAAACGATTGAAGTGAACGAGCAAAATACGGTGACCAAAGTTCCTAGAGCGCGAGGTGAGAATTTATACATTTTGATAGATGGGTAGGATGTGCAAAAAACGTGAGTTGATCTGCCCGGCAGTATTTACAAATGGATAGATCTTGGAATAAGACTGAAACGGGCTATTATTCTGCGAGATGACTGAGAGTTGAATATAAGTACAAGGAAATGATTATTTGATGAAGATATATGCACGTCGCGTTGGAAGAAACCTGACTAAAAAACTAAAGGCTTTATATTCCTTCATGAAAAGGCTGCGATTTTATAGGGGCAAGATTCAAACAATTGTGTCAGTAGTTATGGATAATAGCCAGGCATCGCGTAAGGAAGGCCAGGTCACCTACGCTCAGCATTTCCTTGACATAGAGCTAGGCGCACAGATATGACAGTTGCCCATCTGCTAGCAGTGGCATGCATGAGTGTGTCGAGGTGAGGTAGCAAAGACCTTGGAGCTCGACTAACAACTGCAGCTCGCATTCTTTTGAGCCCTTATAGATCCGCCTGGCCATAGTGCTCACCTTACGGCGACACACGCCAACTACTTCGGAGCATACAATCTGCTTTCGACATATCCGTCTTCAGCAGTTATGTATCTTCCAACACTGCTGGAATGACGGGACCATTGATATGATCCGATTACCATGAATGATCAGAACCCGCGCACGATTATGAGAATTACTCAAAATCGTGATCCAGCTTGAGAGCCCTGACGGAAACTTCAAGGTTAGATCAACAGAGCGTCCATTTTGGGTCTATATATGGACAAGCATAGGTTCAATTTCATTTCGAGTTCAACTCTTCTAAAAAGTGATGACGGGAGTTGTGACAATTCACAATAAATAGGTTGTAGCATGGGGCTATGACGGCCAAGCATAAAAGGTAAAAATGCAATGGGGATAACACTAGATGCAAGAGGCGTAAGACAAGATTGAAGATCTCATTGCCCGATTGGCGTAGATGGAGTCTTAAGGATTCAGTTGGCTCGATCTTTTTCCAAAGCATCCAATGCCATTCATAATTTAGAAAGAAGAATTCCCAAAACAAACGTGTTACATTGTACCATTGTTACATGAACGATTCGAGGCAATAGTGTTATGAAACCTACCTGAAGAGTATCATGATTCGTAGCTCGTACAATAAGGGACATAGTAAAGGAAAACTCGCGCGTCTTGAGTAAAAAAAATGACCACTGCTCAGGTGAAGAAATAAATTGTCTGTCCTTATTGATATGCTCTTTTTTGCTCTCTTCAACTTCTCAACAAAGGACAAGAAGGGGTAAAATTCCTGAGGTTCGGAGAAATTATAAGTTTAATCAAGTATTGAAAATAAAGTGTGGTTCTAAAGTAAGACAGCAGATCCGGCAACAGTGAAGGCAACAGTGAAGATTGCGTTCAAAGGAGAAATGAAACCAGTAGATCTAAAAGATGAAAATAACGAAGTTAGAATGTGTTTCCAAAAGGATTTATTGAGCGAAAATACTTACGCTCCGCTTTCGCTAGAACCGTCAGGAGAGGTTTCGTTAGAACTTGAACCAGAACCTGAGGGGGTTCCATCAGGAGATGTGGTGGAGTTCACGCTGCTAGCGTCAACACATCCTGTGCAAGCTGGTATCAAGGAAGATAAAATGATGATCAGCTTCTTACTCGAGATCGAATCATCTTCATGTTAGAAAATGAATCAAAGGCTTACTAGCTTCTCCGGTGGAAAGACCGGTGCAAGAGTAAGCGCCATCATCGTTGGTGCACACTACAAAAATTTGACATGGAACATGGGATGCGTTAGAAAAAAGGATGGTACGTCTTCGGTACAACAACAGAAGGAGGAAATTTACCATATGATGAAGCAGAGCTCCTTCCGTAAGCGATTGTGCAGGTTTGGGTAGTGTTAGGAGAAGTAGCATTGAGTTGACAGTTGTGGGCGACTGAACAAAATATCACAAGTTGAGCTGAAGGCTAAAGTCAATGAATCAAGAGATGAGACTAACTCTTTGGACCTGTGCAACCACCGGTACAAACGATAGCGGGGTTTTTATCGCAAGCTAGAGAGAAATTACAGCATCCATTAGACCGGGACACACACAAAGAATAAGGGAAACGGATAGACTTACAAGCATGAGTGGTGTTTGCCTCAGCGTACTCCTGGCATTTCATGGTAGGTGATACGTCGGTGCCGGTTGATGCATTGCCGGATCCGGGGGTAGAGGTGAGATTCTTGTCCATAGGAGCAGTCCATGGGTTAGAAGAACCGGCACCAGTAGCGTTGGTCGGGTAGTCAGATTGTTCTTGGGCATCTGGCTTGGCTGCTGGTGGGGCATCTTGCTTGGTCTCGCCGGTTGAGCCACCGGTGGGGTAAGAAACGCCTTCAGCAGGAGGAGCTTGATCTTTCGAGTCGTCTTTAGGTCCCTTGGCCAAAGGAGAAGATACGGCAGGTTGATCTTTTTTGCCGTCATTGTTCATAGCGCCACCCCAGGTAGGGTAATCGGGGTTTTCGGTACCTTGGTTCTTAACGTCAGCTGGAGGTGGAGTCCATGTAGGCTTGGTGTCAGGTTTGTCCATAGGCTTGGGGTCGGTCTTGTCCATAGGTTTGGGGTCGGTCTTGTCCATAGGCTTGGGGTCGGTCTTGTCCATGGGCTTGGGTGGAGCTTGATCGCTGGAGCTTTCAGTAGGATAATTTTCGGAGGAATGGTCAACGTTCTCTAAGGCAGCGTTAGGGTAAGAGATCCCGCCATCACGTCGAGCGAAAGACGAGGCACAACTGGAAGAAGAGACGTAGATGGCGAAGACGCAGAAAGCAACAAAACTTGAACGCATGCTGAATATATTTTAGATAGATACTTGATTAAAAGAATATGATAGTCCGAACGACAGGTGTAGAGTGGATAAAGTTTGATATATTAAGAGCGAAATGAGTAGTGGCTGGAAGTGAATGAATCTGAAGTTAGATGGTGTCTGATTGAGAATTGTTTGGGAGATAAACAAGAAATGTGTAATCCGCAGGTAGATTTGTTACAGATTAGTGATGACAAAAGCGGAGTAGATGAAGGGAAAGTCCGAACGAGGGAAGCTGGAAATATTGAAGGAGTGACTTTATAGATTGTAAGTCGCAAATCGAGAAGAAGTTCAATGTTGAGTTGAGCTGTGGTGGTACTGGTGTATGTGGAATGTTGTTTGTAATAAGAAAGCGTGGATGCTTGCAAATGAACGCCTGCAATCAGACCGAGATACGATTAAATTCCAATGATTTCAAACACGAATTCAGAATCACACAAGGCTTTTGGCTTAAAGTGTTCAAGTCGAGTTCAATTTCTGATGAATATAGAACGGGGAAGAAATTCTTCAAGAATGTCGTCAGATTCGGCTGCAGTTGTTTTGACCCTTTATGTGAGATTTCTTCTTTGTCCTTCTCTTATTTGAGTCAAGGGAGGCAGTGGGCTTGCCTTAATTTCTTTCAGCCGAAGCTCCACCTCGCAGTTTCAAACAGATTTATTCGATTCCCTCAATCACATCAGCAGCCGATCGAAATACTGTCTGTACTTAATTACACACATACATACGGTCATACCACAATCTTTTGGTGACAGGGAAATATGTAAGGGCAAGTATAAGCTTAAAACAGTCTAAACTCCAGATATCTTTTGCCTTCTTCGTTTGGGGCATCAATTTACATACTGCAATAGACTGCACTCATGTGAATGATGATTATAGATATGACCCTACTGATTTCGAGAATTGGACCATGGCGTCAAAGTGAGAGCACTGCCACAGAGGAATGATACGCTCTGCGCACCACTACTTTGGCGAGCTGACAACGACCCATCAGGTGTGGAAACAGTGACAATGATTTCACTTGAGTTTCATGCAGGTCGCCCTCGGTATGGGTATATATACCAAAGTAGGAGAAAGTCAATCGCGATGAATACAAAGTGAAAACTGATTTTCCTTCCTCTTTAGCGCATGTACCCCGCGGCAACATTTGTCAACGGGAAGGTGCAGACTATTAAAGAACCTTATCCACAACACCATCAATGGAATCTTGAAGGTATGGATCAAACTTCCGGGTAGAACTTCCGTAAGGCTGGGACGCCTGATTCACAGTGGATGGACAGGTTCAAGGCTCAGTGGATGTCCGTGACAGAACAATAGATGCGAGACGGGTATCATGATCGATCCTGATCATCTCGTTTCTGGATAGAAGCAAGCACTTTTCGGTCTTGTTCATCTAAGCTAAATATCGCAGCTTTATACGGTGCAAACCATCGTCGAATCTATTTTCTCGTGGCAAGGGCCAAACCCATCAACCTAATCAGTGTGCATTCAAAGAGATCCTTGCAATTTTAAAAAAATACTCACCGGTGAAAAGACAGTTTCTCTATCATTGTTACCAAAATCAGCGAACAAAACGCCCCAAACCCCGATACCTGAATTGATGTGATAACACCGAAATATAAAACAAAATGGTCCAGGGTTTTAACTGAAGCAGAGACATCGTGTATTTCATCAAAGAAGAAAACCGACCTAATGAAAGTGTGACGCCTAAGAATTGAGCACCCCTTTGCCAACGTTCAGGTTGAGCAAGATGAATTGGAATAGGTTTCGTGGATCTTCCAGCATATAATGATCGATTAGTCACATCATTTGGAAAACTTTGAGGTAATAAATTATAAAGAGGTCGAGCTGGGATCTCTTTATTATTTTCGCTATTTGAAGTTGATCGTTCCTTTGTTTAAAAAGTTCAGGCGTAAAGGATCTTAAGTTTCTACTGAGTTTGAGTGAGTTGATCGTATTGTTTGAAAGTGCTTACCATCCATGGAAGACAAATCTGGGTAAAACACGAAGGAGCGTTGGAGTGAAAAATTTGACATTCTACGGCGTTCAAAACACAGGTACCGTACTGCGGGGCCCAACTAACATATCGCCGAGACTCGGGGACACCGCATGATCCAGAACCGGATCCATCCACGCGTCCATTCAGACCGGGTGCGTCCGACCCGGACCGCCATGGCTCAAGAGAAGTTTACTCTTCAAGTCATGTTTGTTTTTTGATCATTCTGATTGACGACATCATTGAGATGGCAAGCCCTGTTTTATGTTCTCATCAAATTCCTCAAGGCCTGTATGTCTTTTTGGTTGCTTATCACCAAACATCAGCTTTCATATCATCCTGATCATTTATATAGTTGAAATTATTGAACCAGCATGATACTTGATCTGAGCAAGCCATCTTTGATAAAAGCTTCAAAGCCTTTTGATACAATCTTGCTTTGTTGATATGCTCTCTTTTGGTTTTTATTTATTATGATCCAAAGTTTTGAATGGTAAGTATCGTGTAACATCAATTTGTATTTGATAACCAAACAGCCAGACAGGCAGAGAATGAATCAACAGACTTCCACAAACTTTATTGCAAAATGTTCTTTTGAAAGGAAAAGATTTTACAAATACTCAGACTCTAAAGACTATCTCAAATCCTTGTCATCTTGCTTTAAAACTCATAGCCACTCCTAAACCCAACACCAAAAATCATGTCACTTAGTTGGAAAATCTCATAGGCTTAATCAATGATTCCTTTATCTCAGTCCAGTGTACTTTACACTCCATGAAGTGGAAGTAATAGAACACCTAATATCATTGTGTGTTACCTCTGGATAAAATGTCCTGGAAGGCCCTGAAAAAGTGTGATGAAATCAAAGGTGCAACTTGACAATAAAAACCTGTGATGATGGTCCAAATCCAATTGAATGGAAAGGATAAATTCCATGTGAAAAGCAGAACACTAGGTCCTTGGGAGAAAACCCAAAGTTAGAAGCCAAAGAAATCAGCAATAAAAACATGCATGAATTCATCTGTTCAGAGATCAAAGGAATGTAAGATAAAATGGTTGAAATCCCTGTTCCCTTAGTAGGAAAAACAAAAAACTGAATGAATAAGATATACCAGATTTATTATCCTTTGCTCACTATTGAATGAAATTCATCAAGAAACAGATTATAGACTGCTTGTATGACTTATAATTTAATTTCCGGGTGATTCAACTAAACATGTTCTTAGTGATCTTTTTTGGGTGCATTATGATTCTGTCTCCCTTGTGTTCTCTAGGTGTTGAAAATGAGCTATGGGTTTTCCAAAAATTACAAACAGAAATGAGGTTAGTTCAAGGAAATTGATACTTAAGTTTGGAAACTGTGGATAGGGATTCAATGAACTTTGACCAATGGTGCAACTGCATAAATAAAGAGAGGTGTTGATATGAGAACACCCACATTTGAAATAAATCCCCATGATAGAAGCTGAAAATTCATTCACAGTCAACCCTGTACTATCCGGTACACCTGGTGGAAGCCCTTGGTACCAGGTCTGACAGGCTAACAGATTTCAGATTTTGAGAAGAAAAAAAGGAAATTGATGAACAACATCAACTTCAAAACAATCTTTAGGCCAGGTTGTTTTAAACTGGGTTCCTCTGGAAGTGATTCAGCTTGTACAAGCAATATATAGATGCAGCCAACTTGTAAAGACTTGAGAAATATTCTGAAGCTTTCTGAAGCTGAATTTCCCAGAATGCAAAACCACATTGTGGTTCATTGGCAAAAATGCTTACAATACACTTTTCTTGTAGGTGACATGGTAAACAAAGAATATAACATTGTGGGTTGGCAAACAGGCTTACCAAGCTGTAGGGCAGTCCTGGTGCCACCACATTTTGCCATCTTGCCTCACAAATCAAGTAAATCAAAGTCACTCCCTCTCCTTGCAGGTATGAAGTTGGCTCAGCTTGTGAGGCAAGAGGGAGGGACTTCCATGGGTTTAGCTTTCAGTGATTTTACCAAAGAGCTACAGATATGGGAGTCAAGATATCCTGGCAACTCATCATCATGCAGATCCAAGTTGTAATAAGAATTCAGATTGGCAATCACATCTTTCAAAATCCAAGCACTTGATCACTATCCAATTTCCATTTCAATGACTCAAACAGCTGCATTTTCAATCACTCCGCTTGATGTCCAACTTGATTAACATTCAGGATATTGCACCACCTTTCCTGCTTCCTGAACTGGAATCAGAGTTTACAAAGAAAAACATAAATTTCAAAAACTGGCTTCAGAATATTTCTGAACTTGAAGCCTTTAAAAACTTCTTACAGTCATTTCTGTCTATATACAGAGGCTTGTGCAAGCTGTAAACCTTCCAGAAGAATCTAGCCTAAGGAAAACCAGCTTCAAGGAAGCTTTCAGGTTGGCGTCATTTATCAATTCCCATAGAAAATACAAATCTCTCAACATGCCTTGAATCAAGTCTTTTTAAGCCAGAATTATGACAGATGATCAGAAGAGGAAGATATGTGAGAATTACACACAGTGTCCAAAGATAGAGCAATAAGATCCAGCTAATTGGGCAAAACATATGTTCAATCTTTTCAAGATACCTGGTCAAACTACAATCTCAGACATCCTCAAGAAAAAAGAGAATTATCTGCAGATGAGCCCAGTGGAACTCCCATTTAAGCAACACAGGGTGGCTCACCATCCCGAGAATTACACTTGACTGAACTTGCCAACTGTTTGCTCCAATGCAAAAACAATGAAACTTGTCTGACCATTCCACTTATCCAGGCCAAGCCAAAACATTTGCAGAGCACATGAATTCTGATGGCAAACTAGTTGTTTTGAATGGTTGGCTTGCAAGCTTTCAAGCACAACACAGTTTTCAAAGTGTAAAGACACATGGTGGATCAGGCTCAGCAGAGTTTGTGGCAGTTGAACAAAGTCTACCCCTACCAGATTTAGCAGGCTGAAGTTTTCAGAGAACCGGTAGCACAGGGTTGACTGTATTGAAAAGAATGAAGGTTGATCAACAAAACAAATTTGAATGTTTTGAAGTCCAAGAAACCCACTGCCCATCTAAATTTCAAAGAGGTACAAGGTAATATTTGTCAGTCCTTGTTTTCCTGTTTTTTTTGGTCATCCATCTTCTTGCACACATTGTAATTTCTTGATCAAAAGTCTTCCAGTTCCTTTGGTCATTCTGTTGGTGTGACAAGGTCTTTTCACCTTGAGGCTCTTTTTTCAGTGGCTTTATCTATGTTGATAGGTCCACAACAAAGCTGAATTAATTCAAAGATAGTATTGAATTGTACAATAAAAGCACTTTGTCCTCATTTGGAAAGAATCATATTCACTGCAAATTTGCTTTCAAAAAAAATATCTCCCCAATTATTCCTTCCAAAAGCACTTTAGCTATGTTTGTTGACTCTACTTTTCAACAAAATTACTTTGAACTCAATTTTTGACAATTTATATTCATGCCAATTTTCTGCCAAAAAGATGTCTATGTTTTTTCCTTTCAAAGGCACTTTGGTTGCATTCACCAATCCTGATTTCCAAGGCTTAACACTGTCAAGTTGTTGCCACAGAATGTTTATCTATCAATATTATGTCTGCCCAAGGATCAAGGTCAACAAAAGCACTAGCTTCCAAGTTCAGAGTATGAGATAGGATGTTTCCTCAGTAACAATAATACCCAGCTTCTCATTGCAATGATCACGCATCCAAGGGTGTTAAGGAAAAAACATTGTCTAAGGGGTTTGCCAATATCCAAAGAGACCAAGCCCTTGGTCATAATCATAACTTTCCTACTTGACCTTTTTTTCATGTCAAGTTTGATTCATTATTTGTTTTATGTCCTAGCACTGTTCACAAACATAGAGTAGTTGTTCAACATTGGTATTGCTTTACGTATTTGTGTTACTAATACTTCCCAGTCCTCTGTTTGAATAGACTTTGATTGTTCCCCTACCACACTTTACTTTGTTTCTAATGCCCAGAATGTATGGCTTTGCTTCAAACATTTCATGTAATGAAGAGCCCCTTTGGAAAGTGTCTGTGTGGTCCACAAATCCTTGGCCAATCTTTGAATGCTATGTTGAGTCATTTGTGGTCAATTTATCTGAGTTGAATTCTGATTAAGCTCAATGGCAGTCAACCAATCCTTTGTGACTGACAAGCCTTTTGAAATTTGTAGATATCTGATTATCAAGCCTAAACATTTGGAATTGATGCCATCATTGGTTTATTCTATGTGTAGGGTCAAAACAGAGGTGGTGGTAACATATTCATACCCAATGTCTTTCTCCTCTCAAGAACCTGGGTGTCTGTCATGAGAAACGTGACTTGCAGAGGAAAATAAATCTGTTTTACAACCTGATTCATATGTGATTTGTTATTATTCCTGTTAGCAGTGATAGAGAAATAGGGCTTATTCTAAAGCAAAAGTACATCTTGAGAGATACTTAACTAAATCAGACTTAGTACTGGTGACAAAATGTGAGCAAGTGGATAATGACATTGTTAAATGTTGTGTCTTACAATAAATTTGCACTGGAGTGTGAGATTCAGCCATGAAATTTGAAGCATGATTGGGCCTTTGTTATATTTGGTTTTTCATGAGGTTTGCCTTGTGAATCTGGAGATGAGGTCAGGGCAACATGACTAATTTTGAACAATGGTAAGCACGGTAAAAGGACAAGTGTAGTCTATGGCTCTGACAGATTTCTCAAGGGGAACGGTTTGGTTGAGAGTGGCAATGGGAAGATAAGCCACTTGACCTGAGTGGTTCATGAACTCAACAAAAGTAGAGAAATTCATGTCAATCAGTCGTGTGGAATAGATGTGCAGGTGACCTATTGCGGGCATGCACGCCAGTTCTCTGGTACGTCATCAAAATTATCAAATATAATGTGCTTATATGAAACCAAGCTAGCTTGGTGCAAACTGGGAAACTGGGAGAACGTGGGAAAGTTCCAAACACAGCCAAAAACAAAAACTGGGAAACTGGGAAAAAAATCCCAGTTTTAACTTTGTATCCCCTAAATGTATCGTGGTTTATCCGTGCATTGATGCTATACGGTACTACGCTAGAGAAGTGAAGGCCGCAGTTTTGAATATCTCGATTTTTCTCGGTCACACTACGTCGCCATTACCTCTATTCTCACCTGTAGTTAACACTCTACGTGCCACTAGTTGGCTATCCACGCATACAAAGTTCTTATACACAGAGTGATTCGCTCTTTGATTTATCATCTAGCCTCGCCAGTCTCGTTCGCTCAATCCGGTGTAGGCAAGACTTATAAAGTCAGATTTGTCACTTGCCCGCCGAGAGGGATTTGGTCAGCTTAAGGATTTACTACAAGGCCGACTCTGTCAGACTATATGTATAAGGTTAAAACTCCTCCCCAAAGAGCCGGTTAAAGGTTGTGGATCAAAAATATCTGAAAGTGACAAGAGAAATCTAACGCTTTACACAATTTGGCATCAAAGTCCTTAACTTGTGATATGAGGAGATTGAAAATTTCAATTATCGTGATATTTGAGAACCTCCACTTGTTAAAACCAATTTCAGAGTTGACCATCGTGTATTCCTGCAATTAAAGTCATGTGCGGTCTTAGCTAAAGACACCTTCTTCAAATGTGAGTTTTCGAATTTTGACAGTCTCTGGAAACACATTTGATTGCAACGACAAAGCTCTGATATCAATCTTTTCGAATGTGGAGCTCCAAAAGTTTTGTTTTTTTGGGAGTCATTCTATAAAATTTGAATCTCCGAACTTATTATTGCGAATGCGAACGTATGACCTATTGCGAATGTATGATCTCGATCTTTCAAGCTCGTGATCATGATCCGTAGTGGGATATAAGGTTAAATGATAGATTGTAATTGAGAAGTGGAGGCCAAGTCTGGCCAATCGAAGTCTTTGTTTACAATTTTTAAAGATGAGATAACTTTGCACTACAATCAGATGTGAGAATCTGAAAGCAGGGTTTTAAGCAGGCAGACAATACTATAACAGGTCAAGTGCGTGCGTCTAACTCAACAAAAGTCTCATCTTACTTCTATAGGACGCGAATCTACTGACTGTCAACTTATTCATCCAATTTCACCTTTATGATGATGGTCTTGAAGTATCTTGAGATGCTGAAGTCAGATTGGATCGGGTATGTTGAAGCTTTTGGGCTTATCGGGATTGATTTCTTTGAGAATGATGCCCAGTGATTCATCTCCAGAAATCCCAATCTGACGCTGTGTGAAAGGGTTTTACAATATAGTCCGAGTTTGATGAGATATTTAGTTTTCAGGGGTATCTGCTACATACTGAGAATAAGGAAATCGGATCAAACTAAAGAAGGAAGTTTGTAAAGTCAAACCAATGGATAAGCCTTCAAATTCCTTTATCACTAAAGTAGAAATTGAATTTACCCAGCTAGTCAATATATGTAAAAATCAATGATTGACTTGGCATTAGTGTAAGCGGTGGTAGTACATACAGAGAATGATGATGATGATGGTATTGTTGTTAAAGAATGATGATGGTAATACAAATACTTTGGAAAATGAGGTGAGTTTGAGTTTCTTGAAAGCTTTTGATGACAAACAATCCGCTTCCCGCTTTTACCGTCTTTTTGACTTCTCTCTCTCTGTCTTTCTGTCTGTCTGTCTTTACGTTGAAATCGAGGTTGACTTCATCTTCTATCATTCATTCATCCATCGATCCATAAAGATATCTCTTTTCTTAATTTCGAGTTTGATTGAGTACACAAATCCAGATTGGATGAAAGTCAGCTTTACCAATCTCCTAGTTCTGCCTTGCTTCTTTCTCCATAACCTTTCGAGATTAGTTTTGGATCGCGAGTCTCTGATTGGCTTTTGACCTTGGAGCTTACCTTTTGTTTACATGACCTTTTCACTCAGAGTCATTTCATCTTGAACTTGTGACGTTCGCGGACGTTCGTTGTCTTGTTCTACCCACAAAACCTTGTATACCTACAACCCTGAATGAGCTTCGAAATCCTCAATACCTTACAACCCACTGCTTCTGGCCATGCGGCTCAGATGCTATTGGGTCCTACGATCCTCGGATCGCTTCTAGGCATCTTCACATTTGGGATTCTCTCTTGCTTGTTTTTCTCCTATGTCACCGGTCCTCTTTACCATCACGATGCTTGTTTCATTCGAGTTTGTGTTTGGCTAGTTTGGCTTACAGCCTTAATCAGCGCTTTTCTCAACGCCATCGAGAATTATTCATATGGCGTATCACAATCAAGAGATTATAGTACTCTCAGATATCCTATACTGTCTGATTGTTTGGTGACCGTCCCTCAAGCAATGTGCGCACTCATCGTTCAACTTTACCTCGCACGCCGGGCTACCTCAGTAAGCATCTTTCCATTCGCTTTTGATTTCTATAAATTAATGGTTGACGAATAATAAACCTCATTGACGCGTTACATCCTTCCACTTTTGTATCCTTGTGTCGATAATTCAGCTAATAAAGAGTAGATTGAGAAAGTACACTCTTCGTGGACTACTGTTTACTTTGATACTTGAGTCATGGGCATTTTCAGTGGTTCAGGTGGTCTTATCATGTACGTATATCTTGAACTCTTTCATCATTTTGATCTCACGTCTGATCTTCGAAAACTGAAATATTCAAACATTTCTTTTTCTCATGACACACGAAAAATTATTCATCGAAATTCATTTTCATACGTATGTGATGAATATTCGAATGATTTTATTCATAAGTTCACGACCGGCAAGGGGACACTCAAGCTCTAAAAGTCAGCTTTGCTTCGTCTTTGGCATGTTTCCCAATTATTTGAAGATTTCCAACTCATTAGCCGGTCAAGTCTGATGCACAACCGACTTCATCTTTTTGAATATCTCTGGCACTCCTCGATATGATCTGATGCGTTGCTAGCCTCTAACTCTCAACTTGGCCAGCGCTGTAAGTGGTTCAAATAACTCCTCATTCAATTTTTGACACCTTACTGACATATTCCCCTTGATACATCACAACAGACATGGCTATGGAGCAATGCCATTGCAGAAGTATGCGTAAGTCCAAGAAAATTTATCAGGCCTCTTGTGTTCCACAATCTCATCCGATTGATGAATCATCCCACATGTTAGGTCACTACGGTCATCTGTCTAAGTTTACGCTCAAAGTTGTCAAAAAGCGATAATCAACTCACTAACGTGGTACTCGCCAAGGTATGTTCCCCTGTTCTTTTCAGTCGCAGTTCATTTACCCATCAAGATGTTGTCTTATCAACCTGAACGGGACGAGTCCAGGATCAAGATGATAGAATTCCTAAAACTAACATTTCTTTTCTTTCGCCCACTCTAACATCACTTTCACTATTGTAATGGTAATGTGGGACCAAACCAAAAAAACTTTAGCTAATCCGGCTCGCCATCTACTCGGCTTCTATAACCTGTTTTGTTGCTGTGGGAGGAGGTTAGTACTCATTTCCATCCAAGAAACACCTCACTGGGATTAAATTGACTGACCGTTGAACCGAAAATATCGTTGAACCACTTGAACCACTTTGCTCTCTGACCCATGACTGGATGACTCGACTTGGCTTTTTGTTTATCTCTTACTATTCGAAACAACTGCATTTGTGCCATTGGGAACACTCCAACAAAACTGCCTGGTTGTCCACATCTGTACAACACGAACTCGAATATCAATACCAGCTATATGCGCGACAATTGCGATCAATCCGCAAAGCCCTTCGGTGAACTTGTCGATCGCTTTCACATGTCAGTGTATATCTTCTCTTTGACTCTGCGTTTGTTCATCCATCCCCAAAGTGATGGAAATGAGTCCGCGTTGAATATCGCTGCAGATCCATCGCGTGCCATTCACGTCTTCATGTAATTCTATGCGCGGTCTTCAACCAAAGGGCACTCCAAGCTGATGTTGCGTTTTCTTCCCATTTTTGATCCACAGCCATTTTGCCTGGATTGTATGGAATCGTGTTCATTGTCACTCTAATGATTCGGGAGCAACTCCGTTCCGATCTAGAGGGAGGGCCTTCTGCTCATCCGGAATTGATGGAGCAGATACACATTCATAGAGAAGGTCACCTTGACTCATCAAACGGAGTCACTTTCCAACCTATCTCTCCAACCACACATGTCCAAGACAAATCTCCACACTCTTCTCCAGTGACCTTCTCACCTCCTTGGCCAAAAATCCAATCTTCCTCACCTTCACCAGGTTTTTTAAATCTCAGAGCCAGAATTCTAGGATTCTGTGTTACCAGACCTGATAGTTCTTTTAACATCCCAAGAAGGTTTCAAAGACTTGGATCTCTGTTCTGATTCTTTCTGGATTAAAACTTCAAGGAAACCATTTTCTGATATACCAATTTTACAGCTAATTGGAATCAAAGTTAACAATCATTCACCTCGGAGATTTAATCTGGCTTGATCACTTCTATTTGTATTACATATCAAATCAAGAGGAAGCTTCTTTAATAATCTTCCTTAAACTTTCTTCTTCTTTTAATTCACATCAACTTAATCCTACTTTCCTTCTCTCTAAGAGGTATTTTCTTTTCTTTTCTTGTATTTTCATTTTCTTTAAATTATCCACTAGGCAAATGCATGTTCCATATACAACTCCTTTAATACCATATTTATCTGTCTCCAACACAACTAATTAATATATTAATCTACTCCTGTCATTCTCTTCCTATTGATTCATGGAATATAACTTACTTTATCTGGCACTAGAACGGTGGCACTGCCAAGGAATGTTTAGGCAGAATGGAAGCTAATGAACAGAGATCAAATTATTGATGCCTATCTCGTGAGATGTGAAAAAGAGACAAATCATAGCATCTACTGGAACAGACCAGTGAGGAGTGAGAAAATGCTAAACATAACACTGAGAGACAGTGGCTGGGAGGAAGGTCATAGAAAATATAATGCCATGCATATACTTACAACTTGCAATGAGACATTAAGCAAAACAAAAATAAAATATTGCAATAAGAAGAAAAGAACCAAATTTTAAAGGAAAGAGAGGCATTGAAAATCATTATCTAAAGGTCTTGTACTAAGTGTCTTGGAACCCACATGATACTGAATAATTAGAAATCATCATAGGAACACATAGAAACTAACTGAATATTGAGTTTCTTTTTGACTGGTTTCTATGTGTTCCTATGTTTCTTTATAAATATTAAGTCTAGTGTTGGGTCCAGACCTTTAGATGAAACTTAATAGAGAAATTCAACCAACTAAAAATGAATTAGTAAGAAACTTTGAGACCAAGATAGTATTTACTTTTTTGGTGGATAGGGATGGTGGGCAGGTGACAAAAAATGACTAGGTAGAAAAAGATTTGAAAGAAGGAAAACTGTGTCTAAAATGAGTTAAAGTTAAAGATGCTAAGAAGATTTCTTGATGAGATGAGAATCAGGATACAGGAAATCTTTCAGGATCAACTTGCTTGACTGGAAACTTCTTGCTCAGTTTTTCTTTTGCCTTCAACTCCTGGATTTGATGTTGATTTGGGACACAAGATGCCCCATTGTGTTACTTACAATTCCTGGACACTTTTATTGGAAGGTCTGGTGGTGAAATCTCAAGCTTATGGAAAGAATTGAAAAACTAGCAATCATTTTTGTCAGTCATCTATGGTATATTACATCATGTGAATAGTCATCTACCAACCTGTGATTTCCCAGCAATGGATGAAATTCCATATTTGAATAATATAATTGAATAATATAATTGTATTTTCAGAGCAATAGTGGTTTGTAAATGTCTTCAAAAACCAGTACAGATACACTTGTATGCATGAGTACACACATAAGTGAAAAGTGGATAGTTCTCAAAACAAACTATTTACCTCCCTAGTAACTTTGATCCCAAGTGGCCACTTGATTTCTCAAAACAGAAATCTGACAAGTCTTTGATTCAGTGTGAATCATTACTTATAATGGGTCAATCCTTATGTACACTGGTAGAAACATACTAGTTTTTCTGAGAATCTTGCATCAAAGTTTTGCAATCCAAATTGGAATAAAAGAGGATATGATTTACGTGGAATCAAAGTGTACTTTCAAATCCCCCACACTAGAAAATTTGGATACAGTGAAGTGCAAAGAGTTTAAATCATCTACTTGAAAAATCCATTTTGGCTTCAATAGTAACTCAGCTTGATTTCTATATTGGAAAGAAAAACAAACCACTATAAAGTATGCAGTCTCAAGGTGCAATAGCAAGTAGAAACTGCTCAACATGTATTCATGTAGAAAGATGTGTTGGAGAAACTATGAAGTCTGTCCACTCTCTAAATCAACCCACCTCTACTTTTGTGAATGCACAATACTGTGTGTTTCTGTTTGTCAAACTTGCTTGGTACAAGGGGAAAAAAGAATAAAGCAGGGTTTGGTTATATGGTACAATGGTTCATAAGCTAGTGGCTGTGGGTTAATTTCTCAATTGGACTTCTGGGTAACTTGCGCTGGCTGTCTATACAGTAAAGACCTTTGACCATTGTAAGAGTGCCAAAATGTGGTGCTGTATGTGGATTCTGTTTGTCTTCAGATCTGAGGTGTTTGTCCATCCATGGAAAATCTAAAATGTGTGGTGCCCAAGCTTGAGGGATGCCTTTTGAGATAGAGCGTGGCCTTTTTTTAGTTTAGACGCGGTTCATACTCTAAATGTGTTGAGAAGTTGTTATGCTCGTCACTAGCAACAAAACGCGCTGAGGGTAAGAAAGATTTGAGTGCAATTGAATGTGATGCTGTTTGATTTGGCCTGCTTAATGCATACAATAGACTATCTAGATCAGATAGAAGTGACGAAAGAAAGTGAGATTGGAACTTTTAAGATCTCTTGATATTCGATGTAAAAACTAGACAAATATTGAAAGATGGTTTTTTCATAGAGCAAATGAAGTATCATAGATAAAAGATATCTTGAACGTCTTGAGGCTAAAGGGGTATTTGGTTTGACTGAAAAAGGTTTAAATTGATAGTTAACTTCGGGTTCGAAAGCCCGGAACGAAGAAAAGGGTTTGAGGAGTTAACTCACAAAGATCGAATTGGAGGAGGTAATGATACCATCCTGTTAATTGACTCTAGGCGTGAATCAGCGACTCTCTGTGGACAGGCCATAGATTACAACCCATTTCCACCTGTCCGATCAGGGTTTTGTACTGTTTTTGACCGGCAACACCATTTGGATCTTTATTGGTGTATTCCTCTGCACACGTCGAAGGTTGGTCACCTACACCCCCCACATCATCAGATTGGAAGACATAAATTTAGGTCAGAAGGAGAAAAAAGGGCAAACAAGAAGTTTTCAAGCAAAGGAAAGAAAAAGACAGATATCCATAAAACTACTCAACATTTCAAACGGCACAAGGTGTTTTCACCCCATTGGTCGGCATAAAAGTGTGTGTTCCATTCCTTTGCCTCACAATTCGTCGCTATAGCTACGCCTGCACAAAAACCGGCAGCAGTGGAAGCAGGGTTTTCGGGATTATATTGTCTTCCATCATAACCGCAGACCAAGCATGCATCAGTGACGAAGATTAAGCAAGCGATGAGGAGGACTATCAATAATGGATGTGTTGACATAGTGGACATTGTAGTGTATAGAGTCAAGGAGAGGATGAAGTTCTTGAAATGCACTGTAGCCGCGTAGACGGCACTGATTTTATACTCATCATCAAGACCTTGCGTTGACTCAGGGTAAAACACTTTGGTCTCTTTTGGTTCAGTCACCGTCAGTGGTTGGAAGAAGAAGCTGTAGAAACCATACAATAAGCAGAGTCGATGGAATCGGAAATCGGGCGTTCACAAAGACCCTTCAGTAAACCCAATAGGGTTCCTCGCGACGAGGCGTCGTGCCGCTCAAAGCCAACTGCTTCTGGCCACGCGGCTCAGATGCTATGTATTGGGTCCTACCATCCTCGGATCGCTTCTAGGCATCTTCACATTTGGGGATCCCTCTTGCTTGCTTTTCTCCTATGTCACCGGTCCTCTTTACCATCACGATGCTTGTTTCATTCGAGTTTGTGTTTGGCTAGTTTGGCTTACAGCCTTAGTCAGCGCTTTTCTCAACGCCATCCAGAATTATTCATATGGCGTATCACAATGCCCAAGCTTGGAACTCCGCTTTTGGAGGCTTCCAGGAGTGGTACAATCAAATGACTAGATATTTTTGGAAATCCTTGAGAACAATCTGGATTGCTCCGTGATTTTGGCCCAAGAGAAAGTCAGACTTTCTGCCACTCTGCAAAACAGAAGAAATATACAATGAGGGCATGTTAAATAGATAATTCAAGAAAGCAAACAAAGCAGATTTCTTCAAAAGATATAATAAATTGGCCACTGATCTGATGGATGTTCGCACTGCTCAGCCTCCTGAAACCTCAAATGCTAATCCTCCTAGGCTTTCATTATATGCACCATAGTCACCATCACCACTACATTTCCAAAAAAATCCTTGAATCTTTGGCTACCTAAACCACAGGGGTGGTTCTGTGTTGCAAGTTTGCACATTCTGAAATATCCCCTTTGATGTAGGTTGATGAAATGTGATGAGTTGAAGACAAAGTACAGAGTCCATTGGGGGTTGCATGTAGGGTTATACCACAAAAAATAACAACATCCTCATTGCTCTTTGGGAGGAATTCCAATATTTTTATCAAGAGATAAAATGTAATAACCATTCACATCCTCAAGATAGAATCAAGGAACAATTGAGACTGTAGACAAAGTATTCGGTAGACTGGTTAGGAAGCCAGCTTAGACTCACCCAAACCAAGAGAACATCCGGACAAGCTCGGGCTCATATCTGTATCTGTTGATGAGCTAGATCCCTTCTCTCTGTGGCAATTGAAGAATGGGGTTGATATTGCACAAGAACTACCGACCCGAGCAGCTCACACAGTTCCTCCACATCAAGGCTCTGAAAACACCAATTAGCTCACATAACTCACAAAGCCACAAACACATACAGATATTATACATCTAGAACGAGATAGGATATATCACAACTTGGTGCGTGATTCTGAACCCAGCGAGGGAACTGTTGCAGCTAGCTGGGTACCAACTGCAAGACAGCGCTGTTTATGCCTCCATCCAACGTCGCTCGCAAGCTTATCCTCTCTGGGTGAGGTCCAGACTTCGACCACAGCGTCGTGAACGCCATCGGCTTCATTGAATTTACTAGTAAAGTACAAACCAGTACGCCGTACAGAAAACTCTTGAATCTCATTTGGATTAGGTGGTGTCAGGAAGCGAACCGAATAAACGAGAGTCGGGAACCAAAGTTGATCACTTTATGGAAACACACCATCAGTATCCTTGCCATCAAAACATTTCTAGCAAATTAGACAACACAAACCTTGGATGATCCTTCCCATCTTCTACAGGTAAGAGTTGAGCAAAGTTTCTAAACATATCACAAAGGTAACAAAGTAAAGCAGGTTGATCGAAAACATTTGAATCTTTATCTAAAAACTCATGCCAAGCTGCCCATTCAATTGGCTGGGTGGCACTCTGGATCATTGGTTGTTTGTGTTTAATTGCCAAATCTTCACTCCATTGAACTTGAGTTGAAAATTTGAAGGCGCGTGCGAACGGGGTTTGCAGAGTCAGAGTAGGATGAGTGATTAGCGGGCACAAGACAGAGTGTCCTGATTGTAACGTCATCCTGTTAGAGCGGTCCAAAGAAGGAACCAAGTATGTCACTTTACACGCTGAGTACCTTTCGGTTTGAGGCCACGGAATTTGGAGGATATGACATTATTCAAAACTTACGGCTTGATGCTCGCTTCACATGCCCTGGAAGTCGAAGGCTCGTTCTGAGAGACTTGGGCGGTCGATCTGCTTTGAAATAAAACTTGCGCCACCACGTTTTTCCGCTGGTTTTGAAACGATGCTACTTCTATGGTTGACCAATTCCGGCCTGCACGAATGATGTGAATGTGGAATTGAATGGGTCCAATGGTGGATCGGTTAAGAAAATGTGCTGTGATGTGGACAGGCACAAGTTGATCATATCCGCCTGAAGATTGTTCAGATTGAGATTGGACGGCGGCTTTCATAATCATGGCAAGAACATATCCACCGTGCGGCGCTACAATGACATACCAAAAACTTAGTCAGCCTCAACCTGTTGAAACTGGTTATGAGACCAAGGATATAACTCTACATCATCCCATTCAAACTTCCACCTAGCAATCGACAGATTGATCATTGATATGGAGGCTCTTACCACTTGCACCAGTCCATTGATCATCTACCTCGCCTTCATAAATATAGCCAACCTCGTGGTGTTTTCGAGCGAAACGAATAGCTGACAATGAAGAATTGATTGGAGCCATCGACTTTAAGGACTTCGGGTGTTCAAGATGGGCCTCAATCCTTCATCTGCAATCAGATTCACGCGATCACACTCACACCTCATGTGTGGCTTGTCTTGTCCGAGAAATATCCGACCCGAATAGCCTCGGGATCTGCGGGTACCTAAACTTTCAGTGTATCTTATTCTTTTCTGATCGTCAGCGCAAATTGTTGACATGCCCAACGCATCTTCAAAGTTGAGATCTCAGTGTGACTGAGAAATACATATTGGGTGTAAGTTTCTGCAATTGAGTTGCTCTCAGTGGAAGTCGATTAGATGTGAGCTCAAGTCTTTACGGCCACCAGTCATTGCCTGATCAGCTCAAGCTACAAACACTGCAGCTAGAATCCATACGGTCATTCGAACGACAAAAAACGGCTTTCAATTCATCAGGTTTATAGGCGAGCATGAGTGTGCTAGATACAAGAGTATTGGCACATTGCTAGATCTGTGACACGGGATATGTTACAGCATATTGCGATGATGATGCTAAGCGGACAAAATTCACTTGGGCCACAGTGAGGTCGAGAAAGCATGCTTAGAGGTTCTATCCATGGTATCATAGTGAGTGTCTCCGAGTTGGTTGATATGATTGCTAAGTGAGCATGGATTGAATTTGACGTCGATGAATGGCATCGAGAATGATGATTGTCATTGAGCGATCTTGAAACAGTTATCATCAGCCTTTCGGCTCTGCCTCTTTATGCGTTAAGCTGTTTCCGGTCCGCTGATAAGGGCGATCAAATTTAGAGAACGTATTTGAAAGGCTACCTGACTCCACCTCATGAGAAGTCTGTGAGGCCTCCAACTTTGAGCTTTCTCCCACTGTTTTTGACGCTGAGGGTGTTTCATCGATTCGCTGGTGCCCTATTCCCCCAGTAAGATTTCCACAAGACGAGAAGAAGTAACAAGTTGATCAGTAGAATTAACCATATAGCTGATGTAGTTGCGAAAGGTTCGCATTACTCGACGACTAGCCGAATTCAAGATTATGGACTCAACACTCTAGCTTATCGTTTGAGCGCATTCCTATCCTGGCCTGCTCCCTTCGACGTTGATTGATATCTTTCTTGGCAAAGTATAGACCACCACCTCCGGCGACACTGAGCATGTGAAAAAGTCATGGGACCGAAGCAGAATCAGCTCTGAAATATGAAGAGATATCAGGATAGAGAATTAGACCATATTTGTTCAACTCACATTAACAGACCCCATCCCAGAGCCATTGATCCTGGTGTGTTCATCTTTTCTTTGCAAATCCAACTTGATGGTGGTTTCCAAGTTGAGGCAGCTTCAAACTTAACTTGATTTCGGATTTCGTACGGATGCGGGTCCGGCCCGTGGGTATGACGTTTTCTTCGAGACGGTGCTCGTTGCTCAGTAGTGACCAGTACCCTTCGGCGCTTACTGTAGCGGGACCGGCCCATCCATCATCATCAAAAACCAAACTCACATTGCTCGAGAGTTGTACTTCCAGATAGATATAATTGTAAACAAACGCCTCGCACTTGACTTTCCAGCCTCACCAAGGACGGCCGCCCATAAGCGCTTCCCTATCGCTCTCATCTTTCTCTACGGGACCGGCGGTGACCTCATAGCACTAGCATGCCCGGCTTCCGGCCCAACAAGGTGCTCGGCTGGATTGTACCAGGCCTGATGATCAGCTTTATCACATTTGGTTCACGATTGGTATTCAAAGAGTTATGTCAGGCGCCATTTTAGACTTCCGGAGTGCTCCAGCGGTGTTGAAGCCTCTTGCCTACTCAGGTCCCTTTATCATTCATTTTCTCGAAATGAAATTGCTGGGAAGTTGAGTGTTTTAACCGCATTGCCCCATCTTTTACCATAGATCTTAAAATGAGTTTCTGAAGTGCGCACACCAAAAATCAGGAATTTATCAAGCTACTTTCACTATCGCATTCACTCTCACGGTAGCCCTTTATCTTTGGATACTTTTCCAACCGCGAACACATTCCAGCCCTCCCAAACAGATACCGGAAGCAATCAAGCAGAAACTGATTGTGAGAACAACCCAAATCACTTCGTTTTTGACCCTTCCTAAATAAACCCAAAGCTATATTGTGCTGTATATGCTGCTTTCAACGCTTGAGCTCTTTAACTAATCGAATCTGATGTATTCCAAAATCAAATTTTGTTCGATCAGGTTTACGAAACGTCCGATTCTTCGGGGACTCCATCGATCTGTAATATATGTCAGGGTCGCCTGAGGCCGCTCCGTTCTCGTCACTGCCTTGACTGTGGAACATGCAAGTATGTGATGGTCATTTCTAAAATCTACATAGTTGGTGATATGAATGACGACCTTACATTGTCACTGCATACTTAACGTGCGCTTAGGACTGGGTTTGATCACCATTGTGTGTGGTTTGCTCATTGTATCACTTCCACTACTACCCTCAAGCCATTCATCCAAATTCTCGTCCTCGCTCCAATGGTCATTCTCCTGGGCGCTGTACCAGCGATGCCAATTATTCGATGGCAATTGAAAGAGGTAGTCCGACTCACCTGGTCTGAAGGCCCGAGCGGAGAATTCTTGCGTACAATCTGGTGGAGTAGATGGTGGGGATGGGCAGGTGGTCCAGGTTGGAGGTGAGAGATGTGATGCTTTGTCCTTGCCGTTGAGGAAGATCGAGCTGCATTTCTAGACCAGAAATCTGACAAGTATCTGGCTCATTACATGTGTATTTTCTTGTGTTCGCTGTCCAAAACTGAAATTCTTGCGAAAGGTATGCTGGTGGTGTTGGTCTTGGGTACTGGCACTACCACTGGATCCGAAGTCAATACGAACCTGGCTCTCAGACAGATGAAATAGACATGGAATTTAAAAGCTTGCGTCAACCGACGCTGTCCTTGCTCATTCTCCTTGCTTTTGCAGTGCTAGTCTCTCTCGTTGCCCTGTTAATGCTTATGACGATCATTCGCGATACTGTGTTCCGGGGAAGAAATACAATTGATATAGAACGTTCAAGACGATGGACGTCAAGGGGTGACCATACATCGACATCATGGGACCCTAGAGTTAAATTGTGGATTCCTGATGAAAGTAGTGTTGGACAAGGTAAAGTGGTACGAATCGATCCTGAAGAAGATGTGTTCAATAATGGGCCAACTCAGAACTGGCAGGATTTGATGGGAGCTCAAATATGGGAGTGGTTTGGTAAGCTGGACGCAATTTATTTTACCTTCCTCATTTTGCAGGCTGCGTTATGTAGGAGAGCAAGGCAATCTTTGGTACTCATCGATTTACATTCTGATCTCGTATGATCTGATAGTCCCCTGGATGACATCTTCTCCATCAAACACACCCGGATGTGAAGGAATAGAGTGGCGCATTAGTTCCGAATGGATGCATAAATTGAGAGCAAGGGAAACATTGGAGTCACCCATATCTATCTGATGAATCATGGGATGAATGTGTTTGGATGATGGTGTCGCGCTCCTTCTGGAACTGATCTGCCTGGACTGATTTCCGCTGATGTAATCTTATCAGAATTAGACGGTAACAATCACTATAGATTTATCATTATCGGAAGATTCAATCTCTTGACACAGATGAAACTCGAAGTCATGTCATGTTGGAAATTTAAAAGTGACGCAAATTGCGGAGAGGCTTTTTGCTACGAGTGCAAGAACTTATTTGAAGTGTCACTGGGGCCAAAGGTCATCTGTCAATTTCCTACTTACTATTGCGACGCTCCAGTAAAAAAGCCTGGTTGTTGGGGACCAGAATGCACACCGGATGTTAAGTCTTATGCCCGCTGAGCTATCACTTCATATTGGGTGGCTGCAGTGAAAAGAAAACTCATTCAAACATTCAACTCAGGTGGAGCCATTCGACCTCTCAGGATCGAAATGCTCCTTGTGTATACTCACACATCTGTTTAGTAAGAGACGACTCTTGTATTTGCCTCGGTAGCACCAAATTCGAGATCGAGTTAGCCAATGGCTCTCAATGCGGCACCAGATCCTCTAATGATTGGAAAGGATATTGCATTGGAAGAAAAATAATAAACCTGAATAAGATACTTTGACAAAGAGGTACAGAAAATGAATCAAAGTGATCACCAGATGCGGTACAAATTCTTTGTAATCATGTAACAATTTTCATAAAATTAAAGCTGAGAAATTATCCAGAGAAAAAATATATTGTCCTCTGTCAACTATCTAACTAAACGCGTTTGGTTCCTTGTGAGATCACTTCCAAAAGCCAGTTTCAGATATCAAAGACATGATACCGATATCCTATTGGCACTCGAATCCCGCTGGACATCCACCACCTCCTTGAGTCGCATGTGCATCCAGCTCACCTGACATCTTGTCTTTTGTCATCATATGCATGCTTTCCTCGTTTTCCGGCTTGCTGTTGATTGTCAAATTTTTCTGTTCAATAATGTTGATAGCTGGGATCCCTTGTTTGATTCTCATAAGGAATTCCACGAGGCTTTCGTAACTTCCAAATAACATCAGGAAAAAGCCACCCCCCTGGCCATCAAGTTTGCCCAAGACAGGAATGAATCTACTACCGAACCCATCGAGACCTGGTGCACCAGAACCAAGCTCCTTTTGACGGAATGCACCAGAAAATCCAAATTCATCATCACTTTCGTCGAATTCATCGTCTTTGTCGAATCCGTCAGAACCACCACTGCCTAGGATAATCATACCCAATTCATCATCATCATCAATGCCCATACCACCAGTAGAGCCACCAAATCCATTAACTCCAATTCCAAACTCCTCAAAACCACTGTCGTTGTATTCATCTTCACCTTTTCTGAATCCAAAAGATCCAACTCCTGCCCCACCACCTCCCCCACCACCTCCTACAAAATTTTCAAATCCTGTACCAGCTCCTTCTCCGAATCCAAAAAAATCGGCTCCTCCCCCAGCTCCTCCTCCGAATCCAAAAAATTCATCTCCTCCCCAACCACCACCTCCAAATGATCCAAAACCTCCACCACCTCCAAATGATCCAAAACCTCCACCACCTCCAAATGATCCAAAACCTCCACCACCTCCATGTTTCCTACGGTGGCCAGAACCATGTTTATGATGCCCATGCCCATGTCTATGTTTATGATGCCCATGCCCATGCCTATGTTTATGATGCCCATGCCCATGTCTATGTTTATGATGCCCATGCCCATGCCTATGTTTATGATGCCCATGCCCATGCCTATGTTTATGATGCCCATGCCCATGCCTATGTTTATGCCCATGCCCATGCCTATGTTTATGATGTCGAGAACATCTACCTTTGTGCTTGTGACTACAAGAACGATGTCCTCTGTGATGTTTCTTTCGTCTGTGCCTGTGAGGGTGCCTATGGTGGCGATGGTGCCGATGTTTTCTGTGTCTACGCCTACGACCCGGGCGTGAGCGATGATGGTGGTGTTTGTGTCCCTTGCGGTGACCTGACACGAGATACCCCTCGATTCATTAGATTTTCCTGATCATCGTCATCCTACCTCGATAGAAGAAGAAAAAGCTTACCTTTATGTCTCTTTGAAAGTTGGTTTAGGTGCTCGCCAGATAACTGATGCACAAGGCCATATGTGACGGCCTTTGACACAAAAGTATCAGATGAAACAAAAGCATCATGCGTGCTTTTCATCCATAGCAGGCGTGATGAATACCAAGATCGGTTTCGGTCAAAGACATAGTAAGCTAGATAGTTTTCCGAACAGAGATGCTGAGAAACACACCTGGAAGGCTCTACAGTACCAGTCGAGACCAAATCGCCAGCGGATGATCTGGTGCTATTAATCGAAGCAACTATTCCAAGTTTATGGGTCAGCTCAATAAGTATGCGAGTCAAGCTGCAATAGACCTACAACATAACAAAACGATTATTGATGTTAAACGACTGAAAGATAACATGTCCACAACTGCCAGCGAATGGACAGTTTGATGCAAATAGAATCGCTCTCTTTGTGATCTCAAACTAAATGTTGTGATTATGATTGGAGAGGAAGTCTGAAATGAAGATAAAGAGGGATAATGTGGGAATAGAACAATCACGACTTGATAGCCATCTTTAAGAAGAAATCTCGTCAAGTTTTCTCATCAATTCATCAGGTTGTCTGGACTGTGAAGTCTCATTTTTAGTAAAGGCAGTGTTGCAAATCCTCATGAAGGGAAAGTAACGGGCATTTGATCACAGTAGTCTTGCAACTTGATTGATAACTTCTTTTCAGAATTAAAATACCGTCATAGACAATAAATTGAAGCGCTCGATCCTCTCCGGCTTCGAGGGAAGAGATGGCGCATCGATTAAAGTTGGCGTTGAATGTTGTTGTATCGTTTTTAGGTTGCGAATTGTTTTGTGTCAAATAATTCCCTTCGGCCCCTCGTCGGATCGCAACAGTTGAAGAAACGGCTATGAGAACAGATCGTGAAGATCATGATAACATCTTCATTTGATGTGAAGCGACCATGTAGCTGGGAATTGTGAAGTGACCTCAAAGATTCCTTGATTGATGAGATACAATGCAAGTGGCGAACAAGAATTCGCACAGATCCAATCCTTTGACCGAGGACTTGTTTATGAAGTTGTAGTTGTCAATGCGACCATGCGATTTCACATTCCAGTGATCTGACTTTGATACAATTGAACACCGCCAGTCCAGGTTTGTCGCTTCACACAAACTTCAAGACCCAAGTTTGCAACGGAACATTACCATGTTTATGGCGAATGGCTTGACAATTCTCTCTACCTTGATCGAATCCGAAGAATGCCTCCATTGAGCGCATGGGGTTACTGACACTAGTCATACGTCATCGCTTTACTCCATCTACCCCGTGCCATCCAAGGCAAGAGGTCATAGTGAAAGCCCAACCGACGTAACATCACGTCCGCGCAAAAAGCGCTACATGGATCGATCGCTTCTGGAAAGGAGTAGCGGGCATCCTATAGAAGGAAAGTCCAGCATTCGGCTAGGTTTGAGTATGATAAGTCAAATACGGTGACTTGATCGCAAAATTTTGGCATGTATGCAGGGATTTTGAGAGCAGAGGGCGAACACAAAAAGTTTAATTGATTGAAACCATACCATGATTCAATGATGTTTTACAAAAGCTTGACCAACGGGGAATGGGTGACAAGCTTTTCTGATCTGACTGTACAACATTGCAAAAACGATAGACCTAATGTTGACAACACGTGAGCTGGCAAGGATTGTCCAGCTACTAGAATACATGGTATGTACAGGAAAGATAAGATGAAAAGCTTGGCGGATGAAAATGGGAACACTTGAAGTCCATTCAGTGATCAATGTCTTCCCCTATTATCGAGATCGCAAGATCCCAAAATCGTGCACATGGGAATCATTAGTCAACAATGCTACGGACTAGATAAAAATGAATTGGCGCAAATGCGTCGAGGTACTCACATCCTCTGCCGATTGTATTCTTCAAGTCGGCCTCGGTTACTACCTTGGATGCGGAGAAATATCCTAAACAGAATTCCACGTGTCAATACAACCCTCTCGTAAAACTCATATTTGATGCCGACTCACCCGCCGCAATCTTAGCATCGATCTCCACCATTGAATCGGATGGAATCAAGTGATCTGGAATATCTTTGCGAACCAAGATTGGGATACCGGATTCGACAATGGCCTGTCACGATAGAGCCCATATTAAATATACGTGAATCGGACATGTGTGACTGCATGTCAATGGATACATGGGTGAGCAACTTACATCATGTTTCATGTCACTCATAGAACACATCACATCAATCTTTTTAATCCCAAGCCAATGCAGCACATCGGGCATCAAGGCTATATATAAAACAGTCTCGTTTCAGTTGGACTAGAAAGTGTGTCCAGATATCTGGAATGTTTACCCTGAAATCGCATGTCTTTGACACCAGCTATTGACTCGGTCCGTTGGAAATACATTGCGGCGGAATCACCCCCTCGTTTTCGTGCATTATATACCAAATATTTCGTCACTGGCCGGATGTATATTTCCGAGTCAGCTTTCAAGATCTAGGCAGGACGCGAAACAACATAGCTCTGGGAAGTTTGTCACCTTCGCCCAGTGCTCGACCTTCCTTTCGAAAGTAGATCACCACACCACTTCCTCCTCTCTGTGCGCATTTGATGGCCTCTTCGATTCCGTATAACAGATACGGCCGACATGTGCAGATCTGATCAAATCAAAAATCGCTAGTGAGATCGATGAATCAGGCGAAAAGACGGCTGAAAAGTGACCTACAGAGCTGCCAAACACATCACTTCCGTTACACTCATCGTGCACACGGAGTGTCAACTCTTTTGTAGGGTCGCTTACAAAATTTGGATCGCCAAAAATGTAGACTGTGAGACCGCCGATCGGTGGCAGATACGTTTTGAGATCATTTCGAGTCAAAAGCTCGGGGTACATTCCACCAGTGTCCTCAAATAATGCTCGGCGAAGAAGACCTTCGGAAATACCTATCAATCACAGCACAATTGTCAGTCAGATAGGCTTCACAAATCTTCGACTTTCGATTCATTGCCCCGAACCAATTTTCTGCGCTACTTACCAAAGCGAGCCGCAACACCAGGCAAATTCCACTTCAAATCCAAAGTAGATAAACCATAGCAGCCCAAAAACCCCTTAGTAAATTCTATCACGAACGGCCGAGGCACTCGAAATATCTCAAGATGAACCTACCACAGGCTCCACCGCAGCTTTCGTTACAGCTACTTCGACACCCGCTTTCTTTGAAGTCTCGCGCTGTCGATCTTCTACGGACATCTGATCCCAATTACCACCGGCAGCTGCGATTGACGTCTTAGCAGCCGTCTCTGCCCATTCACCAGGAGATTTGCTGATGATCTTCCCATCAATTAGCAATCTACCATCCGCTACAGCTTCATCTAGTTCGGCCAGCTTTAGATGGGCTTTGGTGCATGCCACTGGGATGGAAATAGTCAGACATGCTAGGATTATGGTAGAGTAGATCAATTTCAACAGACCGGTCGGACGAATATCGACTCCGGCATCAAAGTGAGCTTTGAATATCTGGGGAGTCAAATGCCCCCATGGATCCATGCTCACAATCCTGGAGGCATCAAACCAAGAGGGATTTGGATCAACGCTAAAGGGTGGTTCAGTCTTTCGAAGAGAAGAGAAAACCAGGCATGTCATCTTAGCAAGGGTCATTTGTAATGTCCGAGGATAGTCCTTTACATACGTTGGTGAAGTCTGGGCGGTGATTGGGATTAATGGCTCCGATTGCGGTTGCTAAGGCTTTATAAATACAGTACGAGCTTTGATCGCGCAGGTGAGATCCAAGAAGTTCAGTCAGATTTGGAACAGACCCTCGACGAAAAACGCTTGACTTGACGCTGTCTGGCATTATTTTGATGCTAGAATTCTGGTACTCACCCTGAATATGCACCAATGGCGTTTCTGTTGAGTGATAGTGTTGAATAAGCTAATAAAACTTTGGAATTATGATTCTATGGACCCACCTAATCTTGAGACTGTTGGGATGCCTGCTGGCTACCACGGGGCCACGTTTTTGAGGATCGGGATTGCCCCAATCTAATGGGATTGGATGTATTCCCGTCTGGCCGGGGTAGGCTGGGTCAAATGAAGTTGATGAAGAAAGGATTTTCATCAGTTGATCTGCCACAGGAACAGGACAAGCAGGGTCACAAGTTTGGGATATACGCATGAAGTCGTCTACGTACTGGTCAGGATGACACGTTGAGGATACACCGTAGATGGTTTGAGTAAAGAAAGTGCGGAGGGGGATGCATAGGGCCCGGGGGAAGAAGCGGCTTCTGATTTCATCCAATCCGAGAAACGCAGCTTTTCTCGTACACTTCCTTCGTCTTCATATTGACTTGCAGGCCTGGCGAAACTTGATTGGGAACCAGGCGTGGTTTGAGAGTTAGGAATAGGAATCGCCGTGGGCATAGGGCGGACTGGAGTGCCGTCAAAAGAACTATGGTTATCATGAGTTGAAGCATGAGTTGGGATTTGTTGATGAGAATGCGTTTGAAAATGAGCAGGGGTTGCTACGCCCAAAGTCTCGAGCTGTAAATAAAGGAAGATGGAAGGGTTAATGACTCGATGAACGCAGATTCCCGCATTGCAGTGACGAAGTAGATACTGACTTTGAGCTCAAGAGATAATTGCGATTCCTTCAAGCTTCTGACTTCAGCGACCAAGGTCTGTAAAAGTTCCGTTGTTTCGGACGCACTGCCAGTGTTGACGACGGACATTTGGTCAATGGCGGAGAGGAGATAGCTGGTGGCTTAACCGCTCAAGAATGCTTTCCTATCGAGGATTGTTTGAGGTTTCGAAAGAAAACGATACTATGAGAGTTTGGCGAGCTGATGACCGATCAACCAAACAGGACACTACAGTGGGGCCGTGCTGAGTCTCGAACCCAAGCCCTCTACGTCACCGAACAAGAGTGGAGTCTGGCACTCTCACTGTAACTCACATGTATCGGTACTCGAGTTTGGATCAGCGGCAACTGATCATGAGTCGACTCAGTGCTGCATCCCTGCTTGTGATTGGTATTACCAAATCACATGCATGATTTTTTGAAGCCATCTTCTATATCTCGCGAATCGTGATATTTATTGCGCTTCAGAGAAGAAATGACGCGAGATGGACAAAAGTTAATGAGGCAAAAAACTAGTGAAGCTCAACATACAAGGTCTGAATAATAAGAGAAAGCGTCTTACAGGCTGCATATTTGTGCCAATGGATTAAAGTCTCACAATCGAAAAGAAGGCTAAAAGTCGGAAGTGACTTCGAAGTTGCGTGTCAGACTCAAACTATGTAAACAACAACCATGATAAGTACTTCACCTTTTAAAGAGCTTTGCTCACCAGTGCCACTACGATCCGGGGTGTTTCACGAATTTGCTCTTTGCTGATTCAAAAGAAATGATTCTAGAAATATGCTCAGAATATGGCCGTTCAGTTGTGACAAATCATAAAGAAATGATATATTTCAATGCCTAGATTGCCAGTGTTTGGCATGCCATCAGGCTTGAAATCATTCTCTGAGACTCAATGACAACATATATATATTGTATATATATTCCAACTTTATAGAACACACATCATCACTATCAAGAAAAGAAACTAAATAAAGCCAGCTGTGCCAGAGGATTGAAAGGAACATTTGACTGCAGGGAACCTTTGGAAATGATTACGCAATATCTCAATCTTATGCGAAAGATCAACAAAAAAGCATAACAAAAAACCGTGCCGGTAAAATCTGATATCATTACATTGCTTCTCTGTAAGCTTGCGCGGCCAGACTGGCATTGCACGCCATAGCCACGTCACCCTGTCCTGCCTGTATACCAAGAAGAAAGGTCGGGTATATTATATCACGTTCTGGAACATAAGTTGGGTCAAGGAGCTATGTAAAAGAGATGTTGTTGAATGATCAATTGAGTGTTGTATCATCATCAACGCAAGCATAGAATCACAACTTACCAAGCCAAACGGTGTTGTATAGTGGTCACAAATGGTGTCGTCACTATATACTTGAGCCTTGAACATCGAGTCATAGGCTGAATTCATCCGGGCTAGCGTGACGGAAGGTGCTATAGGTCGACCTTGCTTGCTGTGAGGCAGAGAGATTTTGTGCGGAGACGTTAAAAATATCCGAGTCATCAAATCAATTGGATACAATATTACATACTCCGTACGACCTCCAAGTGTGATTTCCTTGCTATCAAGTGGCTGGACCTGATAAGGAGACATTGATGGAGTCCGGTGGAGTCAGTCCGGTTGCTTCAAATGAAGGTATGATTGAACTCACTACACAAGTACGGCAAATGGTACATGCCGGGAAACTCGGATCATACAGGAAAGCGATCGCACTATTTGAAATCGGTCGACAAAGAATGTTAATGAGTGAGAAGAGGTCACAAAATCAATCACTTTGGGATCAAGATCATGAAGGCTAGTCAGATTCAGAGCGTTGACTGACCAAACACAGTCGCTCGCGAGTCCTGTCTGTCTAACATATCTGGAAACCGAGCAGGTCATCGGTTGTTCGCCTGTTGTCGGTTGGTCGGTCGTAGGATCATTGGAAGCTTGGTTCGTCTGTTTCTTCGTCTTCCTTTTTACAAAAGAAGTAGAGGAGACCTTGACAGATGCGGAGGATCGCGCCGATAATCTGTCATGGGCGATGGCTTGACCAAAGATGAGGAAGATTTGAAGAAAAACCAGAAGCAATAATATGTTCTTCATATCTTGAGATGAGAAGGGGTCAATATCTATGATTGTTGTATCTGGACAGGGGAACCGGTCCAGGAGTATACAGGATATGGATAGCGAGTGGGTGTTGCCAGCTTCCAGGTGGTAGAAGGACGGTGTCTTACTTATATCCTCTGCCCCCAGATTTAAGACGAAGGTGAGAAAGGAAATTGATTTTGCATTTCATGGATTATGATGCGCACGTAATCCAAGATTTGAACGACCAACCTCTACCAATCTTGACCTCGACAAACACGCTGCTTCTCGCACGCTTTGTTAAGGGGGACCTGAGGATTCTGTCCCGAACCAACTTTTCGAGTTTAGTCACGTGACCACCTCCGTGACTGCGCAAGCAGTCATCCACCCCATTATCCTAACAACTTTCATCAAATCGTTTTCCTCTTTCTCACTTTTTCTCTCACTTCCTCTCATCGTTCACCTTCTGTCGCGTCTCAGATGGACGAAGGACCCCCTGATCCGGAGATCCAGGAAGGATCAATCGTACGGGACGACGCGTCGACTTATGACGACGCGATGGACGCGTTAGTTGCGTCAGACCTGACGGGTCAAACGACGGTAACGACGCCTAAATCACGTCAAACACCCCCCAAGACCCTCGATAGGGTCGTTCTACCCCCTCAGGCGTTCACTGGTCCTGTCTCGAGCACGCCAGCTTCGCTGGAAGGCTCAAGGAAGCGACATCGACAACGTGCGCCTTCCCCAAGCCCTCTCGACGAAGCAGAGGACATCACCGGGACCCCTCCATCGGTTCGTATCGGTCGATTGTTTCCGGGAAGCCCACCCTCTACAGCTAAGCCGTTAGGAGTCTTGGTCCAGAGACTGCTGGACATATCCAAAGCAGCTCTGGTTCCCAAGTCCAAACGAGCCAAATCTGTCAACGTAGACGTTGAATCAGCAGCCGATGTCTTGGTGATTGCCGGCTTGATCCAAGAACAAGCCAGCATCATGGAAGCACGACGAGTGGTTTTTGACCCCACTCGACAAAGTGCCCCAGCACCTACCTCATCCTCACTTGCACCGGAAGCTCAATTCGAGTTTCGAAGTGAAACTCTATCGGCGAAAGTCGACACCCTGGCTGCACAGGTTGCCAAACTGATCACGGCTATCGACCCGGAACAGCAGCCGCGACAACAACAACAACAAAAACAAACGACAGGCACATATGCCTTAGCCGCATCAAAACATGCACCGAAAAACACTCAGGCGCCCTCACCACACCAACAGAGCCAACGAGCTCAACAAAAACATAATGTTCGTCCAAAGACAGAGGCGTCAATTACCCTGATTCAACAGGACCCGAAAAATGTTTCGGGTGGGGGAAAAACCATCCCAGAGCTCATAAAGAGTCTCAACGCTGTTCTCAAAGAGAACAACATCAAAGTGACTATGAATGATGAGTCCACCATTGTGGTACGCAACATTCATAGACACCCTTCCAACGACTTGGTGATATACTTAGAATCACAAAAACAAGTCCAAGCATTGCGAGGCCAGGTGGAATGCTGGCTTCCAAAGGTCTCACCGAACCTCGCCATAAAACAAGAGGTACATTCCGTGATTGTTCACGGAATACCTACAACCTTCAACCCATCTCGTCCAGAGGACATTGAGCTCCTAAAAACAAGCAACGGTGATCTACTCGATAGCGCCCTCTTTGTGAGGTGGTTAAAGAAAGATATGGCTGATGACTCAGCAAAACGTCACTCGTCCCTGCTGATTGGTTTCAAAACACTCAGTGAAGCCACCCTTGATGCACGCACAAAAGTGTGGCAAGGGAGGGGCCGCCACCGGACAGAACTTAGCGGGCCTCCTCCAACTCGGTGTTTTAACTGCCTGGGAGTAGGACACACGGCATCTGCTTGTAAAATAGCTCCTATGTGTCCATACTGTTCAGGTAACCACCACACACACAATTGCCCTATTAAAGGTACCACAGCAATGAAATGTATTGCCTGTGCACGCGGAAAAGTGAAAGCAGACCCCAGTGCCAATCTTCCGCGCCTGTTCAAGGAAAACCATGCGGATTTCCTGCACCACCCATTTTCCCCCACGTGCCCAGTGAGAATTGCGAGTCAATTCCCGCCTCATAACCCCAGCTCCTCGCCATATATCCAAGTGGTTGCCCAAGCAAACTCAGCTCAAACTCAATGTTAGAACATCAGATGATGGAAAAACTCAAAATTGACAATTCAGCCAGCGTTCTACAATTGAACTGCAAGGATTCCAAATATGTTACTCATTCTTTATTTAATTCAAATTTAACTTCCAAATTTTCCATTCTTTCAATTCAAGAACCGTATGTCAACCCTATTGATAACCTACCACTCAATATGTCCAATTGGACTCTCGTCTGTCCAACTCCACAATCTCTTGAGGAAGAGGACAGACCTCGAGCCTGCCTTTATATTCGGCAAGACTTGAATCCAATCATCAATCCAATATTCTCATCTTCGAGAAACCTGGCAGCAAGTGTAATCACTATACAAGGCTATACTGTATTGATAGCTAGTGTTTATAACCCTCAAAAAACCCTGGACGGCTTTGAAGCTTTCGTCGACATGCTCAAAACCGCTCCATTGACAACCCAACTTCTTCCAACAATCTGTACCACCAATGCTAACCTCCACTCCCCCTTGTGGAATCCGAGCCACAGTAAACTAAACGACAAAGACGCCAAAAAGTTGATTGACATGCTCACAGACTGGGGCCTTAGTCTGCGGTCTCCAAAAGGTATTCCAACCTTCGGAGTGAGATCAATGAACACCGAAGGAACCTCAATTGACCAAGTATGGGTTGTTGGAATACTTACGCTAACATCATATAAATCTAGCTGTATTCCTTGTCTTTCTCATAACTGATGTGCTTACCATCCTAGTTCACTTCTATCATTAGCTGATCATCTCATGTTTTCTCACCGGATCATTTGATCCTCGATCTGTTGTCTATTTTGTTCTCATCGGATCCTATGATCCTTGACTTTGTATCTACGCAGTTGTTACATAAAACTTACGTAACGAACTTTGTTTATAAACCACCTAGAGCAGCACTAGGAAAGGGTTTCTTCTTCACCCTTTCCGCATTTCATTTATGTGCTCTAGGAAGGTCTTTCTTTTCTTAGACTGTGTCTTTTTCTCTATGTAGTTGCTTCATGAAATACTAAGGTCTTTACCCTTTCCGCATTTCATTTATGTGCTCTAGTTGATCGCAACAGGTTATGAGACCCATCTCTACCAACTGCTAAAACTTTAAATACTCCAAAGCTTATCTTGAAAGCTTATCTTGAATCTTGCACGTCTCCACAAGGGTCCTTGGATACATTAGTATACCACGTATTTCTCGAAACTCTCGAACCTTCTTCCTGATCACATTCAAATACTTTGAACCTTCTTCATCGATTAAACTGCATCACATCCGGCGCTGGATTTCCCGATCCTTTACACCTGTGTCATCTATCCTCCTACCTCTCTTGCAATCTACCCACCGTTACTTCGCTGTCTCTCACCCACTATGGCAACCGCTAATACCACCGAAACCAACAAACTGTCTGGTATCACCGCCCTCAAACCGCCTGGCGAAGACTCGAATTACCTCGACTGGGAGTTTGCGATTGACTCCTACCTTGTAGATGCAAAACTTACCTATGTCTTACAGGAAGTTGATCCCAAGACTAAACCGATCACCTGGAACAATGATAATGCTCGAGTCTGCACTCTGATCATCCATGCTGTTGATGATGTGAATTATCAATACTTGAAACCTCATCGACGTAATGCGGCTGCCATGTGGAAAGCTCTACGCATTGCCCATGAAGATTCTACTTCCGGTGGTCGCATGCTTGTTCTTAACTCTCTCATTACCTCCAAAATGGGAGATGTTGACCTAGACTCACACCTCCAATCCATGAACCGGCTGTTTGAGAAACTCACATCGCTTATCACTGAAGATCATCCCCTTACCGCGGATGATATCTTCTCAACCTCCCTCATCAACTCTCTGCCCAATGATTGGGCTCACGTAGTCACTCCGTTAATGCAACAAACGCGGGTTGACTCAGCTTCCGTCATTCGTGCAATCAAAAACGAACAAATTCGTCGGCAATCTCAGGGATCATCTATATCCATCTCTAAGGCCTCAAAGGCCAACTCCAAACCATTCAAATCAAATAATTCGTCGTCTCATCGCTCCAATGATAAACGTCCTAAAAACACCAAATTATGCTCATTCTGTAAACGGACAAATCACAACTTCGAAACCTGCTGGGCCTTTGATAAGCTGTTGGCTGAACGGAACTCTTCCTCATCTTCGGACATCAAATCATCCAACAATTCTCGACCTTCACAGCAGCCCTCGAAAGCAGGGAAAACCTCCGTTGTTTCCCTTGATTTCAGTGATTTGTCGGATGATGATGAATCCCCGGTTCAAGTAAAGTTTGCTTCCACTGATGTCGCTTGTGTGTCACGTTTCCGGGAATGGAACATTGACTCAGGATGTTCATCCACAATGACGCCCCACTCATCTTCACTCTCCCAATTAACGCCTTCAACTCGATCAATCCACCTTGCGGACAACTCAGTCATTCATGCGACTCACTCTGGAAAAGCTGAACTCGCGATCTCTGGTCTTACCTCACACAGATCGCTTCTTGTTCCTGATCTTCAAGAACCTCTCCTTTCGGTTTCTTCCCTCTGTGATGATGGATATACTGTGGTCTTCACAAAGGACGGCTGTCATATTCATCTAGCAGATAGTGTTGTGCTTAAAACAACACCAGTTGGAAACGGCGTTCGTCGTGGAAATCTGTATTATCTCCCCGAGAAGGTTGATATGTCCTTATCCGCCTCATGTTTTGCCAGTAAAGCTGATGTTAGTCTGTTTGACTGGCACAATCGCTTAGGCCACATTGGACTCCGCCCTTTGAAAGCCTTACTCAAGTCTCATGACATCAAGCCATCGGTTCTTAACAAAATTGAGGT